AGTTCATTTGGCATATTTGGTCCTGTGGGATTTTCCCATTAGAACAGATATAACTGGTCTGGAAATGCCCTTACTGTCACATTGGAGGAGGCTGCATCTGAGCGTGCAAAAGGAATTTGGTTGTATTTCACATGTTGCCTTAGAGGTTGCCTGCATTTACGTGCTTGTTTTATGGGACATCTATTACAGATTAAAAAGCAAAGCAGATGTTCATGTAAAGAATGTGGTTGAACTGTTTTCTGGTGAGAAAGCAGTGGAATGTGTCTGTAACTGATCATGTTTCCTTCCAGCTTTACATGAACACTTTATGTAGTTTCTCTGCCTTTCACACCCCTCAGATATGTTTGCACAGTCACTGTTTTTAGTCTGGTTACATAGATGTTTTATTTCTTTTTTAGGTTCTGTTTTTAAAAGTGACAGACTTAAGAAATCTTACTTTTAAAATTTCCAGTCCCCTTCATGAGTTGGATTTATCAGACACGAGGCGTTTCCTACTTCATGTGAAAGGGAGATCTGGAAGGCATTCTAAAATAAACAGAATGGTGAAAAGATGTATTACTGACTGTCAAATGATTGTTTATTGGTTTCTGTTTAACAAGCCAATCGTTTGTTTTCAGTGAAGTATAGACAAAGCTCTGTTTATCACAGGTAGAATGAGATGTGTCTAGAAAGTTGGACATTTGTGAAAAATAGTAACTAGGAGAAAAAGGTCCAGAACCATCCAAATGTTTTCACATTGTGTCATGTTACAAACCAAACTACACTGTGATGTAAAAGGGTCAGCCAACACAAGGTAGTGCATAACTGTAACATGAAAGAAAAATGATCCATGATTCTAAAAGATTTCTACAAATAAAAAAGTGGGGATTAAATTAATGTTCACCCCCTGAATCAATACTTTGTAGAACTACCTTTTTATCCACTTGATTCTGACAGTCCACTTTCCACCAGCACATTTAGAGATTGACATTTTTGTTTTCCTTTACAAAACAGCTTAAGCTCAGGGTGGATGGAGAACATGTGTGAACATCAATTTTCTTGTATTGCTACCAATCTCAGTGTGATGTGGGTCTGGACTTTGACTGGGTCATTCTAACACATGAATATACTTTGATCTAAAACATTCCATTGTGGTTCTAGCTGCATGTTGAGCTCCCTTGTCCTGCTGGAAGGTGAAGCTTTGCAGTTGGTCCATCCGCTCTCCATGTTCAGATGATGGGTTGAACAGAGCTCTGGGAGATGTTCAAAGCTTGGGATGTTGTTTTAGAACCTAACCCAACTTTTCCAGACCTGTCTGCTTTGTTCCTTGGTCTTAATGATGCTGGTTGTTTTTTGTTCTCTATGAAACCTCTCAGGCCTTTATAGAACAGCTGAAAATATTCTGATATAGTTCCACCCTGTTTCCCAACTAGGGGACTTCTGAAAGCCGTTTGTATAAGATTCTATTTAGCATGATGTGAGTAAAAGCAGCTGAAAGCAAAAGCGCATTTCAGTTTGTTTGTAAGGGGGTCTTGACAATCATTGGTTATTTCCTTCCACTTATTATTATTCTGTTTATTATTATTATTATTACTGATTTAGGTTGGTCTGTTTTGTGAAGTGCAAATGAAATAACCTTCAGATTGCAGTTGTAATGTGACAAATGATGAAATATTCTTGATTATTAGTGCTTCTTGTTTTTGGGTTGCTGTACATGCTAAAGATAAGCAAGGTCAGAGGGTCGCTCCACAGATGGTCCAGTGACCTCTACCCTCAGCAGCTTAGGTAACGTGTCACTTTGCACAATGGGTGTTGGATTGGTGGCAGCATTCCCTGTGCTCATATTTTACTCCAGATTTCTGCTAATTGTGAGAGCAAACTGATGTCTGATAACATGTTAACATGTTCTTTATTGCAGTTGTTAAACTCCAGTCTCACTGTTTAAACACTGAACACCAGTGCTTCTCTGTGGATTCTTTGTCACAGTCATTAATGACCTGTGGTCCTCCCTCACAGTCTGCATCCATATGCCTGTTGTCTTTCAGAGATGAAAGAACTTCAGTGACAATTTTGTTTTTTTATGTGATTATTACTGATGGATTGTTTCTGTAATTCAGATTCAAATGAATTGAGACATATAGAAATGAGGAACTAAGGAACCCTGTAAGTATCTATAGCATAAAACTGATGTGAATCACCTGGAATGAGCTGTCAACAGAGGGGATAGATCTAAACAGGCCAACAGAACACTGGACTGGAAACCAGTTTACTATCTGCAACTTCTGGCTAGAATCAGTAACATCTACAGGATTAAAACTTTTCTACCAGGTAAAAATCAGACCAAACCCTGGAATTTAAGGAACACTTTCTATGTTTTTATCACAGTAGCAGCAAACTCGGTCATGCAGATATAAATGAGAGGTTTTACAGCATTGTTTAAACTGAAGACTGTTCGACACATCCTCATTCCTCAATCACCTGCTTTCGTTGAAGACATGTTTGTAAATGATGAGACTTTGTGGAACCCTCACTTTGACACTGTTTTTAAACTTTAATCTGTCTGCAATTACTATTTCTTTACCACGCTAACACAAGAGTAAAAAAAAAATCACACTGTTCAGGTATAATTGCTAAATAAATGCAAAAATATGTTTGCTTTAATTCCAGTTTTCTGGCATTGTCAAACATTTGTTATCATCACTTTAAAATGAATCTACAAGTTTTATCATCCCGTACACACCATTCACTCCTGTTTCAGGCAGCTCACCAAACACCTGAAGTTCCCCTGCAGTAGCAAACTAGTTCAACCAGCAGGTGGCAGTAAACATCCAGAGATTGAGCTTAAAAGCTGCATAGCGCCTCCTGCACAAAACATATATTCAGTGTATCAGTCTGCAGGATCAAAACGAATCCTTTATAAGTCACACCACAAGTCCAGACCTGACCTAGATTGTAGAGAACAGTAAACTGCTGCTTCTCAGCCTCTGACTGACTGCAGCCAGATTTCCTTCCTGCTCACAGTGAAGAAGCCCACACTTCTGATTTCCATTTAATTTTCTGTGTATTCTGCTGACAAAGGCTTGTTTTTTCTCTTTTCACTGGATGTTTTAACAGCTAAATGAGGAACAATGAGTCATTTCATTGTGGAGAAGTAATGTCATCTTCCTCTCCTTTAAGATATTGTTTTTGTGTATGTGGTGATAATAAGGAAGACAGTGAGTTGTTGCCAGTTTTGTTCCTGGCTCTTTTGTTCTTAGAGGGCTATGCAATGTGTGGCCCACTATAAGCTGATGGAAAGTCCACATTGTTTTGCCAGAGCTTCCTTCCACAGACCCAGCGGCTAATGTTGGCTTTGAAACAGACTCATTTACTGGTGATTATGCAGAACATTCCTTAATAATTCAATTGGGCATATCAGACAGTTTCTTGTATGTTCTGATTCTTCTCAAGCTGGTCTGTGAGCCTCAGGTCTTTGATGGTGAACCTGAAGACAACAAGGAGCTGCCATCAGAATAAGAAACAAACATGCACTAAGTCTCGGTTAGAAAAGTGATGAATGTATAATATAAACAATAGGATGAAGATTTCATGTTCAGCCTTTAGCGTTTTTTCTACTTGTTGCTACGGAAACTATTTGCGCCCAGGAAACTGTTCTATATTAGGTTCAAGTTCAGTAAAACAGTTCTCTAACTCTGTTTGCATAATAAAAGACTTATTTCTCTACATGGAATTGTTGATTTAGATAGTTTGATGTGTTTCTTCTCAGCTCATTAAGATCAGTCTGAAAATTGGTGACCAGTTCCATGAAGACCGGTGGAAGTTACAGAAAAATTATCTCATTCTTAGCATAACCAGCCTTTAGTGTTTAAGTGTCAGAAGGTTAGATTAATCAAAGCGTTTCAAGCCTTCTCTGCCTGTTGGGATCATGTACCTCAGTTAAGCTGATCAGGAAACTACCAACAATAATCTGCTCTCCTAACTCAGCTTTGTCCAAGATGCATTAATGAATACAGAGAGATGTTCTCATTCCTCTTTCTTCTCTGGGAGGGAAAGTTGATGTTGCAGTTGCAAACTTTGTGTGCTTTAGATTTTATCTGTGGCATGGTAGTCATGGAAACTGGTTGACATAAATAGGCTAGCAGAGGGAAGGGGATGTTTCAGTTTTTAATAATGGACTGAATTTAGGTCATTATATATTGCATGTTAGTTCTATAAATTGCATCTTGTGCCACTTAGGATTCCATTAATCTGTGTGAGTCCCTGGTTGGTTCTCAGAGAGCCTCCGGGCAGTGATTTGAGAACTTAGTGAGGCCCCTTACAGTCTAAGAATTTTAAAAAGCTCAATGAGTCTCAAGATTTCACATCTGATTCTGTGTTTACTCCACCTAATGTATTATGTAATTACACGCTGCAGTTTTGCTACAGTAAGAGTGGGCACACTAACTGGGATCGTGAATCTGGAAAGGCAGTCAGCTCTGTCAGTCCCCATTCATAATTTTACTGCAGCTCTAATTAGAGGAGCACTAATTAAACGCAGAGTAGCAGGAGAACCAACATCTGCTCTTGTACTAATGTAAAATAACTTAACATGAAATAACACAGTAATTTGGTGCTCTGCCTGAGTTAGAAGAGAGATCAGGAGATCAGTATGCATGAGTCAGGTGAATCCTTAAAGAGGAAATCTAAGGCTATATAGCTGTGAAAATGCTGCCACCTAACAGATTTCTGTTGTTGCTTTTTTGTCAAACTGAAATTCATCCATCCTTGTATCAATCCATCTCCTATACCCACTTCTTCCTTACAGGATCAAGGAGGAGCTGGTGCCTATCTCCAGCAGTCTATGGGCAGGATGCAGGGTACACCCTGGACAGGTCGCCAGTCCATCGCAGACACATACCCATGCATGCCTAAGGGCAATTTAGAGAAACCAATTAACCTAACAGTCATGTTTTTGGACTGTGGGAGGAAGCCAGAGTACCTGGAGAGAACACACACATGCACAGGGAGAACATGCAAACTCCATGCAGAAAGATCCCCGGCTGGGAGTCGAACCCAGGACCTTTTTGTTGACAAGACAACAGTGCTACCAACTGCGCCACCGTGCAGCCTTATTGAATTGAATTCTTTTGTGACCTCCTGGATGAGTTTTGATACACTCTGAGTTATTTAGGTTTCCTGGCCACTCCTGGGATGGTTCACCACTGTTCCATGTTTTCTCCATTTTTGGATTATGGCTCTCACTGTGGTTCCTGGGGTCGGAAAGACTTTGTAACCCTTGACTGATGGATGTATTCACTTTGTTTCTCATCTGTTCTTGAATTTCTGTAGATCAGGCTATTGTTTGTTGTTTTTTGAGATCTATTATCTTACTTCATGCTGTCAGATAGTTGAGTGCTTTGTTGATTTGTACAGCTAAGGCAGGGCCTGGGTGTGGCCAGCGTGCAGTCTTTAAAACAGTGATTACAATGGGTTTAGACTTGAAACTGCTTAAATCATTTTGAATGCAGAGCCTGAATTCATTATTGTGAACAATATGAAAATTTTACATAAAAACTAAGAATAATGTATTTTGCCTGAACAGTGAAACACGGGTTAGATCAGTCAGATCACTGTGTTGTTTGTTTGGAGCCATTTGGCAACTCAAGCCAAAAATCAATGTGGGTAAATGTGAACCATATAGTCTTTGGACAACCAAGCCTTCATCTCAGGGCTAGCGACATTTATCTTTCAACATTGTGGTTCAAGTGAAGAATACACACACACCACCATGGGTACACTGGCTGGACGGATGGATATGTATTTCAGATATGTATTTGAGTTATGGTTGATCACAAAGAAAAAAGAATGTTTTTCCTTGTCTTGCAAAATATCTAATTGTGAAGCAGAATTTATGCTGTGGCCTCTTATTTTGCTTCTTTGGTCTAATCCATGCAACTCTCCCCAGCATGTATTACAACCTACCCAGTTTATGGGGTAGGTCTGTATTTGGCATTAACATATGAGGTCTGTGGTGTCCTTAAATTAGTGTCACCTGTAATAAACACATGTCGGTATTTTATAGAAAGGTTTATGACCTGTAGCTTCAACAATCCACAGGTGAGAGGGGCTAAAGCTACAATTGTTACAACTATACCTGTTCTCCTCTACTGCATCTCAGTGTGATATTCCAGCTTCACAGCTTTCTGCCCCAAGCTGAAAGGAGAAGCTGAACTGCTGTTGCACCATAAATGAATTTGTTCAGATCTCTGTGTACAGACCCACCATGGCAAAGAGGGTGAATCAAGATGTGTGACAGTTCAAACAAGTAGCTGCAGTGGCTGGTTTATCCATGCACTAGTGCTCATCCAGGAGGAGTGAATGCTGCATGTCACTGACTCGATGCAATCTGCTGGGTTTCCTTAGACAGAAAAACTTTTAACCGATTTGAATAATAAACTGAATCTGACTGCACTGTTTGATAGTTAGGATTAATTGGAATGTATGAACCTAACTTGAAATCTGTATGATTCGATTGAATGGACTTTGTAAAGTGCCTTCAGACGACATGTGTTGTCAATTGGTGCTTTATAAACAAAACTGAATTGAACTGAGTTGAATAGTGTAGGTCGAGGGTTCAGCTGCAAGTGCTGAAAGAGCCCCAAAGGTTGCACTGAGGCTGTGTGACAGCCAGGAAAATGGTGAAATGTCAGTTACGAAACAAATGTTGAAACAAGCTAAAAGTGAGACTTTAAAGAATGAGTAAGTGATTTAGGATTTTAAAGAACAGAGCAGTTGAGTAATGAGACGTTTACACAAAGAGAAAATAGAAGGCCTCCAAAAGGTTCAATACGGATTGGTTTGGGTTTACTTTAAACATGATCAAACGCATTCATATTATTAACAAATAACATCTTTACATATTACATTTCCTTCTCCCATGTTCAAAAAGGAGTGGGTGGAAGTTTTAGCTTATTTATTCCTTCCCTTGCACAAGTCAACTACTACTGAATTAATTACACCAGTTACAACGAAAAAATGATACCTAGTTTATTTACTGCAAAACAACAAGAAAAAACAAATATTTTTCTGCAATAGTTCCAGATTTTCCAGAGCCATTACTGTTTGAGATAAAACAACTGCTTCAGCTTTATATTTATTTGAAATTTGAATTTTGTATATTGTTCTAAACAGATTTATCTTTTTACTTTGCTTACACTTATGTGCTAGATAATTCAATAATTCTATTCCTGAGAATGAAATGTACAGCCCACAGCATTTCTAGATTCAGTTCCCCTCTTAGATTACAGGGGTTGGACAATGAAACTGAAACACCTAGTTTTAGACCACAATAATTTATTAGTATGGTGTAGGTCCTCCTTTTGCGGCCAATACAGCATCAATTCGTCTTGGGAATGACATATACAAGTCCTACACAGTGGTCAGAGGGATTTTAAGCCATTCTTGCAGGATAGTGGCCAGGTCACTACATGATACTGGTGGAGGAAAACGTTTCCTGACTCGCTCCTCCAAAACACCCCAAAGTGGCTCAATAATATTTAGATCTGGTGACTGTGCAGGCCATGGG